TAATCTTACCACCCAGAAGTAGGAAGGCCTACTCCTAATCTAAGCAGCTTGCCATGGCGTTACTTCTGCTTGCCTCACACTGGGCACCCACGTGCAGCTGACCAGACCCCAGGAAGCTCCGGGGTTCATCCCCCACCCCCAAGCCCCCTGTCCCCTGGCCAGCCTCTCTGCTGTTGTGGTTCCTCAGTAGACTTTCCGTAAATGACTTTATGAAAAAGTGTTTTCTTTCTTTCATTAGCTTTACTTGATTCTTAAGAGCCCCTGCTTGGTGCCCAGGAGGCTCCTGATCGGATCACATTCTTCAAACAACTTTAAAGCTGAGTGAAGCAGCAGGTGCCCCACCAGGCATCACACAGTGACCTCAAGGTTCAGGGGAGCCCCCACCATGCCCTCTCCCTGAACTTCACCCCCACCCAGACCCCCACCTTTCTGGCTTCTCCCACACAAGTTGTGCCCCAAGTGGCATTTCCAACCCTGCAGCTGGCCACCACCTGCTGTGTCATTCATGGACACTGGAGCATCAGGCAGCCTATCCAGACGCAGTCCAAGGACCTGTTCCTACCTGGTCTGTGCCATGCATCTGCACCCCAGGCCCCCTGTGGGCAGGGTGGGGGTCTGCCAGGCTCCTGGCACATCGGTGGCCCTCTGCTTTGATCAGGGGCCCCATGGCCTCAGCCCCGCAGGAGACATTCTCCACCTACAGGCGCTCCCCACCCTCACGCAGACACTCATTCACCCCACCAGACGCCTCTCCCCATCCAGGGAGGGTTTGGGAGCTCACCCTCCCCTGCTGGCCTGCTCTCCGGAGTCTGACCCCTCCCAGTCTCTCCCTGTCTTCCCACAGGGCTGCCCCTTCTTGTCCAGAAGGGTCTGAGGTATGCTGAAGGTATGAGGTATGCTGAAGCCCAGCCCTTCCACTCACTTCCACTCATGGTGCTTGGAGGTCAGTCCTTACTCTCTCATCACAGTCTGGACCCTCTGCCCGTCCCCAGCATCTTGATTGTCTATGGAGAGCCACAGTGGAGGGCCTGAAACAGATAAATTATTATAATAAGGTGGGCAAAATGAGCTGAGACATTTAGAGTACAGTGTCCGGAGGAGACTGAGCTGACCTTCTGTGCAACTGGGGAAGATTTCCAAGAGGAGGTATTGAATTGGGTCTTGAAGGATGCATAGAAGTTTGCCTGGTGGCAGCGAGGTTGTGCTTTAGGATACAGACTTGGGTTCTTTGTCCGTCATTGCCTCAGTAATTCTAAGTTTCAGGTGGGCAGATGCTGTAGGTTCTAAGGGAGAATGGCGCTGGTGCTCGCCTGACTATTGTTTGTGATGTTCAAGATGTTGGGGGCCTGGCCCGTGGTCCTCACTGCACATGCTTCTTAGCATCAGCTCTTCTGGGGGGCTTGCTTGTGATCTACATCAAGCAACTGGCAGAGCCACTGGAAAGGGGGTGGATGCCTGGGGAGGGGGCAGAAGGAGACGGGAATGGTGGTGACCGAGAAGCTGGCTTCAAGGATGGGAGAGGGGAGGTTGGGGAGACTGGCCTAAGGAGCGGTGGTCATCGGGGGCCAAACTGCTTCCCTGTGCTCTCACTCCAGGTAGTTAAGCCATGGAGAGTCCTCTTGTTTTTGAGCTTTGTCAGGCACCTGACCAAGTTTTCAGGGAAACTTCCTTGGGTCTTGAGCTGGAAGACTGAGCTCCGAGGGCTTCTGAAGCTGCTCCTCCCTGCTGCAGGCACAGCCTCGGCTGGCCCAGGTTCTCCCTCAGAGTTAATGGGCACTAGGGTGCAGGTTTGGGTGACCAGACTTGGGGGAGGGGAGGGCATCACTTTCTAGAAACTTTTTTCAAGCCGGGTCACAGGAGCAGGAGAAACCCTATCCCATAGGGGCTTCCAGAGCTGCCCCCTCCCCAGCAGGCACGACTCTGGGAGGGAAAGACCTGTGTCCAAGAACAGGCCATTCTCTCACCTGAGTGCCACCTATAAGGTCCATTATTGGGCGCTTTTTGGATGCCGGGAGCTTGCCTGCCACGTTCATGATTGCCTCCAGAGACTGGCTCCTTCCCACCTAGCCCTGCCCTTATCTCAGACCCTTGCCACCACTCACCCAGAGCCCCCTGCAGAAGAGACAGTGGGGTCTGACCCAGAAGGACATGGGGCAGCAGGGCAGCTTGTCTGGGATGGTCCATCTGGCTGTTCCTCTTGTTCACTTTAGGCACATCCTGCTGTGTCCCTGGGAGGATTCCCGGCTCACTGTGCCTTAGTCCTGTACTTACCCTGGCTGGACAGCAGCAGGTGGACAGGCCCTGTAGGCCCCTCCCCACCCCGGGGACGAGCTCACCTTTGGGCCCCAAGGTGCCTCACCCGGCGCCCACCAGGCTTGTGAGTAGCCCTCTGGCTGTTTGGAACTTCCAGCATTAGTGGGTTTGGATTCTGGCACTGGAAGCCCTGACTACTCCATGGAGGCCTGTGAGCCGGTGCTTGGGTGTCTGTGCCCTTTGGGGGCCAGAGCATGAAGGTGGCAGCTCAGTCTTGTACACCTGATACCCTCCGCTCTCCTGGGCAGGAAGTGGATGGCAGGACCAGGGATAGGCCGGGCTGGTGAGGAGGAGGCCAAAGCAGCCTTGGGCAGACAGCCACCTGGGGGCTGGCTCAGCCTTTGCAGTGGCTCCGTGAGCCTTTGCTGCTCCTTGGGTGGGTGGGGAAACAGGCTCAGAGGGTGCAGCCAGGGAGAGACAGAGCAGGGTTCAAACCCAGACCTGCTTGAAGCCTCAACACACTCTCCCCACCCCCCACACACACAAAAAAAGAAAAATCACTGATCAAAAAAAAAAAAATCACCCTTTCTTTATGTTTTTTTCTTAAAATAAAAGAATATTTTGAGACTGTAACTCATACACAGTGAGAAAATCATACAGGACAGGGGATGTGGAGTGACTACTTTGCCAGCCCCCAGCTCCCCGCCGCGCCCCCCAGAGGCAGCCACTGCTCTATTCTGACTTTGAAGAAGCAAAAATATAGCTCTAAGCACACCTATTGATCATAAAGACCTGGGATGTTAAGGAAATGTTCAATTAGATTTAGTGTAATATTTACTTCTCTCCCAAGGAAGACAAGAGTCCATCTTAATGAAGTTAAAAAAAAATATTTTATTATTCTTATGGCTATTTTTTAAAGGTAAGTTAGACTTAAAAAAATTTTTATATATGTATTTTCGACTGTGCTGAGGGTTCATTGTGGTGCGCGGGCTTCCCATTGAGGTGGCTTCTCTCGTTGCGGAGCATGGGCTCTGGGGCGTGAGGGCTTCAGCAGTTGTGGCACGTGGGTTCAGTAGTTGTGGCTTCTGGGCTCTAGAGCACAGGCTCAATAGTTGTAGCATGCAGGCGTAGTTTCTCTGTGGCGTGTGGGATCTTCCCAGACCAGGGATTGAACCTGCACCCCCTTGCGTTGGAAGGGCAGAATCCTAACCACTGGACCACCAGAGAAGGCCCTGAAGTTTTATTCCAAAAAGGATTATAGCAGAAGTGTGTTCTCTATTTAAGACGTTGCTTTCCCATCACCTGGAGCCTGGGCTCGGGCAGTGCTGGGCTTCTCAGGCCCTGTGGGCAGCAGGGGCGGGGGGTGCTGGGTTCCGATGGGGGCTGTGCCTGCAGGGCCTCTGCGGAGGGGAGACAGGGGGGCCCTGTGGCCACGGGTGTCCCCCGCCCCGCTGGCCCACGTGCTCAGCCTTTGTGCCCCCCTCCCCCGGCAGCCTTCCCCAGACATTTCCTGTTCCGGCTTTGTCTCATACATGCTGGGTCTAATGTTCTTCGAAAATGATCTCAAATCAAATTAAACCAACGGTGGTGACAAGTCAAATACCGTGGAGGACCTTCTGATGGACCCCAGGCTCCCTCTGGCCTGTGCTCCCCACCGGCCCTGGACCCTCATGGGCCTGCTCTTGGGGCTCATGGGCCTGTTCTTGGGGCTCTGGCTTGCTCTTCCACCTGCTGCACATCGTCCTCCTCAAAGGGTCAGTGTTTGGGGAGTTACATGCAGAACCTCTCAGTGACCTCAGCAGCGGCCACCCCCCTTTCAGGCTTCCTTCTCCCAGCCCTCCAGGCTGGTCCCTGCTCCTCTCAGAAGCACTGATGCGGTGGGTGGGTAAACGTCTCCTCGCTGTAGGACTGGCCGCCTCTGCTGTATAGTGGAGGATCTGGGGGAGAGGGCCTTTGCCTCCAGCTTTGCAGTGTAATTATGTGATGCTTTTCTCTCCTTCCTGAACCTTCAGTGAGTCCCCACAGGCTGCGCCTCCCTATTCCACTGTCTGGAGCCAGGCCAGCGTTCATTGCTCTGGGAGGACCCTGGGTCTAGAGGACTTGGCATAGAGTGAAGGAGGGTGCTCGCTGAGAGGCCCCCAGACAGGCCCTCAGTCCTGCTGGTCCATGAGGATGCTGAGGCCAGGGGTCTCGCAGGAGCTGAGTGAGCCAGTCAACTGGGATCTGCCAGCTGCTGGGAAAGAGGCCCCTGTGGGGCTGGCACGAACGGCGCAAGGGCTGGAAGTCTTTTGGGGAGGGGTGCCCCTTCCTCAGGGCTTGCTTGGTGGCTCAGATGGTAAAGAACCTGCCTGCAATGCAGGAGGCCCAGGTTCGATCCCTGGTCAGGAAGATCCCCTGGAAAAGGGAATGGCTACCCACTCCAGTATTCTTGGGGCTTTCCTGGTGGGTCAGATGGTAAAGAATCTGCCTGCAGTGTGGGAGACCTGGGTCCGATCCCCGTGTTGGAAAGGTCCCCTGGAGAAAGAGAATGACTTCCCACTCCAGTATTCTTGCCTGGAGAATTTCACAGACTGAGAAGCCTGGTGGGCTATGGGGTCACAAAGAGTCAGACACGACTGAGCAACCAACATAACACCAACTAACACACCCCTTCCTCACACAGATCTCTGCCCGAGGCTGGGCATCAGGACTGAATGCTAGGTGTTCACTGGGGGGATTAACTGTCTGTTTCCCTGTTTCTCTCCCAGGGGGGCTTTTTCTGTGGTCCGACGCTGTGTCAAGCTCTGCACCGGCCATGAGTATGCGGCCAAGATCATCAACACCAAGAAGCTGTCAGCCAGAGGTAGGAAGAGAATGGCTGTGTTGGCCCGTGGGAGCTGGGGGCAGGGGGAGCCTGTGCTGGGGGATGGGGCATGGCCTGTGGCTCCCGGGGCGACACAGTCAGAGTGGGATTCGTGGCTGCAGTGGGGTGTGAACAGGGCTCATGGCTGCGCAGGGCTGGGAGCAAGAGGCACCCACACACACACCCTCACATCTGCTATTGCACTCTCGCTCTTGTTTAGGGGCTCATGGAACCTCCGTCTCTTCTCCCCAGGGCTGGAGGGGAGAGGCATGCAACCAGGTGACTGGACATGGTCCGATAGTATCATCTGCCCAAGAATGTGGGTCAGAGGAGGACGTAGGGACCTGAAGACTTTGGATGCTTGAGGGGCCACCTGAATGGCATGTTTCCTGACTCAGATCCTGCCAGTCTTCTGGACCCAGCGATGCACGTGGGGACTCATCTGACTGTGCTGGGAGGGCTGGGGGTGTGCCTGCAGGGGTGGATGTGATGCTGGCCATGAGCTGGCCCTGGCCATGTGGCCTCACCCAATCAGGGACTTCCCAGGCCCTTGCTGGGGGCGGCCTGTTCTGGGCAGACAGACAGACCCCTGATCCAGTGGTGTTCCATGTGGTGGGGGTGGGGCAAGATGTGTGTGAGGGGGAATGACATGTGGTGAGTGAGTGTGATAAGGCCATGGTGGAGGTGCCACCCCGAGCAGGTGAATTCAGAGCACAGAAGCGTGGGGACAAGGGCGGGGAACCAGGGAAGAAGTCTGGTGGGACCTGCCGCCCCCCAGGATCTCCAAGCCAGGTTTAGACAGGAGGGGCTGGATGAGCCCTGGGGAGACAGTGCTGAGTTAAGCCCTCTCCCACCTCCTCCCAGGCACACCCACGACCCTGGTTAGCATCCAGACACAAATCTAATTGAGAGGCTCCTTCTCCTCCACGAGGCCCTGACTGCCGGCAGTTCTGGCCCACATTCCGCCCTGCGGTTGGTGCAGAGAACGCCTCCATCTGTGGGGTCTGCAGCTTCTAGCCCAGCAGCCTGCGGGGGCGAGTGGCTGAGCCTGCTGTGTGGTTCGCTGAGCTGTGTGTGGGTGTTTGGGTGCCTGCTGTGTACCAGGCCTTCAGGGCTGAGTGTTTCCAGGGGCAGGCGCTCCGGTCCCAGCCCATGTTGAGAGGCTGGTTGTGCACCAGTGGGGTCAGTCCTGCGTCCTCTTTTTTGCTGCTGGTGTTAGGAGGGGACAGGGGTGACACAGGGCACTGTGGCAACAGGAGGTCTTAGAGCCAGTGCAGCCCTGGGGCATGTGTGGTGGGAAGGCTCAGATCCTACAGCTAGACTGATAACAGCAATAACGCGAAGGCTAATATTTACCAAGCGATTGCTGTGTGTACTGCCAGATGCAGGGCTGCTCCTGTGTTCCCTGACACTGGGTGGGCGGCACCGGTCGGATACCGTTGTCACATATGTTAGGGAGCTGTGTCGCAAACGTGGAGTTTCTAAAGCAGGAGGAGCACTCTGCTTCATTCTCTAGGCTTGTGCCAGGCCACAGGAGGCGAGAGAGCCCACCTTCAGATGTCCCCTGGACTACTGAGGGAGACCCTCACTCATTCGCCAGCTTTACCCAGCGCCTCCCACGTGCCCAGCACTGAGAACAGGGTGATGAGCAAACACATCCAAAGAAACCACTACAGCCCCATCTCTGGGGTGGGAGCCCAGGAGAGGGCACAAGGAGGTTGCATGGTCTTGAAGGATGAATATGGGTTTGTGAGACTCAAGCAGAAAACCACTTGAGTTTGAGTATGTTTCCGTGGAATCCGACAGCTCCTTTCAAGTATAATCACACTCCCCTGTTTATACCCTTAAAGTGAAAGTGTTAGTCGCTGAGTCATGTCCGACTCTTTGCGACCCCATGGTCTGTAGCCTGCCAGGCTCCTCTATCCATGGGATTTTCCAGGCAAGAACACTGGAGTGGGTTGCCATTTCCTACTCCAAGCGATCTTCTCCACCCAGGGATTGAACCTGGGTCTCCTGCATTGCAAGCAGATTCTTTACTGAGGATCAAGAGCAGTGGAAGTCTGAAATTCCCCGTGTTCCACCTGCTCTTTCTTCTGTCCCCGCAGCAGCAGGCCTGCTGCCCGCTTCCTGACAGCCAGCCTGCTCTCTGCCCTTGAGTCCCAGAGGCTGGGCCAAAGAGATCCCGGCTCATGGTGCCTTTGTGGAGCTGTGCAGACGTGGGGCTCCATCAGCCCTGCTTCCGGTCTCAGTGTCCCAGCTGGACACAGCTCAGGTTGGGTGGTGGGAGGCAGGGCAGCTAGCCAGGGCTGGTCTGGAACTGGAGCAGCCAGCTCTCACCCGTTGTCACCTGCCCTCAGGAGCACTTCCCCTGTGAAGACACTCCCTTCTTTGCCTCTACACTTGGGCCCTGGCATTGCTCAGGTCTGTGAAGGTCTTGGGCATTCCCCCCACCCTGTTAAACTCATTATCATGGAAAATTTCAACCACCCCCAAATATAGATAAAATGATAGAATGAGCCCCCAGCTTCAACAAAACAGTTTTCAACACTAGGGCAATTTTGTTTCATCTGCAACCCTCCCCATGTTCCACCCCCACTTGCATATCTTGCAGCAGATCCCAGACCACCTGTCATTTCACCACAGTGATCAGCGTGTTTCTCTAATGGAAAAGGATTCTAAAACCAACCAGCCACCTCCCTGTACAGGGACCCAAGGGTCTTTTGACACTCCCCAGCCCCTTTTCGAGCTGAATGGGCAGCTGGAGGGGTAAGAGGAGAGGGTCTCGGACCCCCAACCCTCATCTTCATGCTGAGTGTGGGCCAGAAATGGGGTACCTAGGCTGATGGATTTGGTTTGGTCGCTACATGGCCCTGGCCACATGGTCCTGACTGTCTCACTGTGTGACCTTGGCCGTGTTACTTAGCCACCCTGTACCTCAGTTTTCTCAGCTGTAAAATGGGAATAAATCTAATCCCTACCTCAGAGGGGCATTGTGAGGGAGAGAGGAGTGAGGTACTTTGGAGTCAGCCTAGCACAGTGCTGCCTGAACACCCTTTGCTTTCTTTCACTTTTCTTGCCAGACCATCCTGCCCAGCCTGCAGGCTCTAGGACTCCTCCTCCAGGAAGCCTCCCTGGGTCCTCCCAGCCAGCTTAGAAACCTAGGGGCCCAAAAGCAGTCACTTTACGAATTTTTCCATTGATCATTTGCTCCTTGAGGGCAAATGCAGCAAGTTCATCTCTGCACCTTCTCAGCTCCCAGCCCAGAGGCTGGGAAAATACATGTAGGAACATCCCACCCTCTTCTTACTTCCCTTTGAGGGCTGGCTACATAAAACCCAAGTTCTCATTTGGCCTGAAACTGCCTGTGGCCCTGTCTTCTCTCTCCCTCCCAGCAGCTCTGCTCAGGCACTGGCTTCTTCTGGTTCTGTAATCCCCAGGGCCTTTGCGCATGCCTTCTCTGAGGCTCAGACAGTAAAGAATCTGCCTGCAATGCAGGAGACCCGGGTTTGATACCTGGGTCAGGAAGATCCCCTGGAAAAGGGCATGGCAACTGACTCCAGTATTCTTGCCTGGGAAATTCCATGGACAGAGGAGCCTGGCAGGCTATATACAGTCCATGGAGTGGCGAAGACTTGGACACAACTGAATGACTAACACTTTCACTTTCTTTCTAGAAATGTTTTTCCTGAACTTTGTACCTGCTTAACTCCTGTTGATGACACTTCTTCAAAGGGGTCTCCCTTGAGCCTCCAGTAGGAATCTGGACCCAAGCACCCTGTTTTTATTTGATGACTGTCTCACAGACTAAACTGCCAGGCCTCGCAGGCAGGACTTCATCTGTTTTGTTCACCATTGTATCTCCTACCCTCCACCCAGGCCCTGAGAAGTGGGGAGCTCTCCATAAATCCTTTGGAATGAATGAATGCTTTGAGTGAGTGGGTTTCGAAGGAGCGGATGTGCAGCCTGTGCTGGAGTCAGGTTAGTCTCCCAGGTGTGAAGCTGGGACAGGGATTGGGTGGAGCAGCGTCTGAAAGGTGTGCTGCAGGGTCGTGTTTGCAAGGGGGATCCCTGGTCACTGAACACCTGAGCATCTGGAAAGTCCAGGTCCAGGAGGGGTTCTGTGGTGAAGCCAGACAGTGGTCAGGAAGCAAGGAGGGGAAGCCCAGAGCCAGCTGCTCCTCGCCGAGTCCTGGTGTTCACCTCGAAGCCTGCACCTGTGGCGTCCTGCAGGGTCAGACTTGATCCACACAGAGAGTCCTGACTCCAGACAGTGCTCCCTCCCCAGAGAGGCCATTTAGAAATGCTTGCCCCAGCTGTTGTCCTGGAGGGTGGGAGCAGTGGATCCAAGGGTGGGGAGTCTGCTAGGCAAGTGGGAGAGTGGGGAAGTGGAAACTGGACTCAGAGGTCAGAGGGGAAGCCCCTCTTCTGCCCGCTTCATTTTCAGAACAGTGTGATGGGGCTTCACCCAGCCCTGCAGTGAGGGGGGGGGGGTCCCCTCCTGGTCCGAGGAGACTGGCTTAGTCCTTCAAGGCTTCCAGTGATAAAGAAGGCAGCAGGAGAAGGTTGCTGGCGCTGGACACAGAAAAACTGTCCCACTTGGTAACTGACAGTTCTTGGGGCCACGAGGACACTGCAGATTACATCCAGCTTGTGCCAAAGGCAGTAAGAGTTAAATTTTTTAAATTTAATACTTAATTAAATAGAGGATTGTGAGACATTCAGAGTCTGTGAATGTACTGAATAATAAGAGATTATTAAACTACCATTAACAAAAGCAGTTAGAGGAAAATTAATTGACGGGGGTAGTGGGGGTAAGATGATCATCATCAGGCACTTCTTGTTGCTCTCGCCTCCCCCCTTGCTCCTTGTCAGCACCAAGTGGCTGCTCTTTAGGGCTGGTTTAGTGGCCCTTTGGAGGACACCCTATGGACCGAGCTCTTTTAGTACTCAGTGGCCCCGAGCAGGTGTCCCAGAAATGACCCCGGTCAGCAGCCGACCTT